CCCCAAAACCCTTGCCGAGTCTGGCTTTTGATGCTACACCATGAAGATTTGAAAGCTCCTTGTCTAACCACCTATTAGCAGGTCTGGGCAGCTCAGAGAATAGAAAGCTAAGTTATAAGTATTACTGTATGTCCTGTAGTAATACTGTAAGTACTACTGAGTGAACTGTAAAGGTGACTCTGATCGACATCGTCAGAAAATCCACCAAGAGCAACGCATCCTGAAAAACTATTTAAATAATCTGGCCAGAATTGATGCACAGTCACTGCAGTTATCTCAGTCATATCACTCATACAAACTCAGTTAGATGGCATTGACACAATCAGCACCAGACTTCAGAGAATAATAAAATGACTTCAACATCCAGACAGACTAATGAGGCAATGTGCCTCCATCATTGCATGCAGATCAAGGCCATTACAGATGATCAACTTGTACATACTGACATGAGACATCCTAGCAGTATTAAGGCCATATGGCGCCTCATGCCTGCCTTTTCCCTTAAATAAGATCAGGGCTGAACTTCAATATCAACTCTCCTTTTTCACCCAATCCATTAATTTCCTTAGCACCCAAAATCTATTGCTCTCAGCTTTAAATGAATTCTTCAACTGGGCATTTCATAGCCTTTTGTGGTAAAGAATTCCAAAGATTCACAATCCTGTCAGCAAAGAAATCTCTCCTCATTTTGGCCCTAAGAAACCAACATCCTATCCTGACGTTCTCCAGCCTTGGAGAACTGCCTCTTAACATCCAGTTTTCTAATCCTTCTATATCCCAATGATCACTTCTCATTCTTTTTAAACTCCAGAGAATACAGGCCCATTCTATCTAATCATCTTGTTCCCAGAATCAATCTGATAAACATCAGTTGCACACTATCTAAGGCAAGCAAATTATGATGAATAGCCTATAATATAAAATCCTATGGTAACATTCGAAGAAAATGAGAGTTCATTTGACATCTCTCAATATCCTGGCCAGTGTTTATCCATCAACAAACATCTAAAACAAATGTAACTGGTCATTTATTTTGTTTCCGTTTGTGGGAGATTACTATGTACAAATTGGCATTCCTTGTATTGTAAAAGTTAGTACAGTTTTCAAGTTCAGAAGTCACACAGCACCAGGTTATAGTCCAACAGGTTTTTTGAAATCACAAGCTTTCAGACCGTGGTGAAGTGAGAGAAGCATACAGACACAGAATTTATAGCCAGAGAGATCAAAAGATCACATGAATGGTGTGAGTGGAGTGTTGAATAATCGGTCTCTGCAGGTGACCGTCAGTGCCAAAAGGTGTGAGTGAAGTGTCAACACCTGAATAACAAACAAAGGGATGACCTATAATCCAATTAATTGAGGCAGAGGGATAATTACAAAAAATTTAAAAATAAGGTGGTGCTGGAGACAAACCAAATTACTGGAATAACATGATAGGTGTATGAGTCGCATGCCAAGGGTAACCAAAATAAGAAGTAATCCAAACTGTACAAACTAATTAAGGTAGAGCAATCATAACAATCTATCAAGGTGATGGTGTCAAAATAGGAAAGTAAGGAAGATTTTACAAATACAGAACAGTGTGATGGGGTCCTATGTAGCCTGATGTGAACCCAAGATCATGGTTAAGACAGTCTTCTTGGGTACAGAACTTGGCTATCTGTTTTTACTCTGTGTTTCTGCATTGTTGTATATCTCAAAGGCCGCCTTGGAGGACACTTACCTGAAGATCAGAGGCTAAATGTCCTTGACTGCTGAAGTGCCCTCCGACTGGGAGGGAACATTGCTGTCTGGCGATTGTTGCACGATGTCCATTCGTCTGTTGTCGTAGCGTGCACGGTATCCATTCATCAATTATCATAGCCAAGTTCCGTGCCTGTGAAGATGGCCCCAACTGTTACCTTGGGTTCATGTTGTGCTACATGTGACCCCACCACATTTCTGTATCTGTAAAATTTTCCTTGCTGTCCTGTTTGACGCAATCACCTTGATAAATTGTTATGATCTCTCTGTCTTAAGGAATTTGTACAGTTTTGGATTACTTATTGTTTTGGTTAGACCCTCGGCATGCCACTCATATACCTATCACATTATTCCAGTCATTTGGTTTGTCTCCAGCACTATCTTATTTTTAACTTTTTGTAATTCTCCCTCTGCCTCATTTAATCGGATTATAGGTCATCCCTTTGCTTTTCATTTGCTGTTGATGTTTTACTCTCACTGTCTGACCTTTTGATCACCTGCGGAGACTTATTATTCGACACTCCACTCACACCATTTTTATGATCTTTTGATCCCTCTGCCTATAAATTCTTCTTTCTCTCTCTCACTTCACCTGAAAAAGGGGCTACGCTTGAAAGCTTGTGATTTCAAATAAACCTGTTGGACTATAACCTGTTATTGTGTGACTTCTGATTTTTGTCCTCCCCAGTCTAACACTGGCATCTCCACATCATAGTTTTCAAGCTTTCTTCGTTGTAAATTGGTTTTGGAGATGCTCCAAGGTCATAAATGATGCTGTGTAAATGCTGGTCTTATCAGTCTGCAGACTTTTGCAATCAAAACTCTGAAATGAAGACTGCCTTCTCCTGAAAGGAGCAGTGAATGTTACTAGGGTCTGTAAATCTATATAAACATGAATTGGCAATCTTAGCAAATAAAGCAGATTTTTGTTAGGAGCAGAAAGAGGGAACATCATTGCTAAAGAAATGCTGTTCCTGCACTCCATTTGAAGGTCATTTTACATGGTCCTGCACTAGCGACCTTGCTGTTCTGGCAATGACAGTCATGCGCTGTTTTGGCAAGTGAGGTTCTTTTATGCAGTTTTTCTGCTCGCACAGTGAGATCTCACTGGCTTGCTGCCTGTATAGTTTAAGACCTATTTTTCATTGATTTATTATATTTCAAGGTAGACTGTGGCATCTTTTTTTTTAAAAAAAAGACCTGGACATATTTCTAAGTACACAAGCTGTAATAACGCAGAAATAAGACCTCCTTCAGGTATCGTCAACCTTCGCCTTGCCATGAAAGGATATTGCAAATGTCAACTTCACCTGCTTCCCAAAGTAGTGAAAGTAGGTTTTCTACTGAATGAGTCAGCTAGTTAATGAAGTTTCATACCAAGATTTTTTAAGTTCTAATCAAATATCAAACATTATTAATTTTCATTCCTTCTATAAGTGAAAGGAACTGGAGTTTTCCAGAGGTAATTTGGTAACTGTCCTGCTGTGATTGGTTGGTAAGAATTAAAGATAGGCTGAAGATACTATCCAGTTGAGGGGGGCAGGCTTGCCAGCAATCTGACAATACAAGTGGGCGAACTTTAAAATAGTTTGACCAGGCATCTGATTTCAAGCTGTAGTATCTGTTGCCCTAATGAAGGGAAAAATTACTAGAATAACTGTAAGTTACTTTATTGATTTCCTTTTCTCTCTGCCAACCCCTGTCATTCTCCCTACTTCCCCCAAGTTAGTGTTTCTCTTTCTCTGCATCTATCTCACCTGCTTCCCCTTCCCCCCAACCTTTGCCCCATTCCCCAACACTGCTTCTGTTTTCTTCTCTTACATGTGACAAGTTTTTAATCTATTTTTCTAGGCTTCCTCCAAATACTGTTTGAGAAACACTAGCCTTTCAACTGATGATGCTTTGGGAACATCCCATACTTCCTTTACGGGTCCTATTGAAAAGTAAGTCATTAAATTGAGAGGAAAACTCTCAATAGTTGAGTAAAAGTCCTTGAAGCAAACTAGACTTTATTTCAGAATGATGCCAGAACAAATATGCTGTTGAAGTGATCCACAAGACTTTATAGCTTTCAATTGTAAAATGTCAACTTTTTGAAAGTAATAAAAGTTATTTTTTATAAAAATAATTAACTGTTGACATACAGGGTTGTATAAAAAGGGTGGGAATACAGAGGGGTTCAAATTCCTCGTTCCATTTTACATGGAATTTGGTGTTCCAATTGATCATTAAGCAGAGGCCACATATCACCTAATGGAGGAAGAAAATACAGAAGAAATTTAGCAACCATTAATTTTTCTGGAACCCTAATCCACTGTGTTGTGAGGTCACTGAATGTACTTTCTTAGGTTTTTGTTTTATTTTTCTCCTCCTTACCACCCTTAAGTGCAGTTAGGATAATTTCTGATGTAAACCTGATTGGAA